CAATTGAGGACGGCCATATCCAATTTTGGCCGTGCTCAGAGGTTTTCTCATCCAATTACATCGAAAATAGACAGCACCTAGTAATATTACATACACCAACTGTTTAGCTAAGAGTCGTTTGAGCAAATGATCGTGTAAAGTTGTATTTATTAAAGCACACAAAGTTTATTATTACTGCATTATTGCATTCCTATCATTACAATTGTTGTTATTGTTATTATTATCGTTGTTATTATTACTGTTGCTGTTAAAAGATGTATGATGACAGAGGTTTTCTTTCATTTAAGTTTCATGTTACAGACATGAAAGCGCGAGGACTAACATTCGCACTCAGATTGAAGAGTATTTGATCTTCCACTGGGTGGATGAAAACAGTGCAGCTGAAAAAAAACAATAACAGCATATAAAAAAAGTAAGAATTATTTATTATTACCTCTTCTAATTGACTTGTGATATTCATCAGGATCTTGAAAATGATCTATGAGACCAATTTTCTCCAGTCTTGACCTCTGTTTGTGTCAAAATTGATCGAGTCTTATAGGTTCTGAAACAATTTCCAGCGTGCAAGAGAGTTTGAATTATACGAAGTAATTCTGCGTATAGCTGAAATACAGGGAGCAAGAAAGGCCTAAATCCTTCACTAACTTGCAACTTTATTGTTCACACGTACCTATCTTACGATTGGTCATTTAGGTTTGTCATGTTTGCATTAATTATGCTGGAAAAGCAATCGAAATAAACTTATTCAACTATTGATCGTCCTAATTTTTCCGGCTGCTTCCTCGAAGTAACTGCACGAGTATACAAACTCTTTATTGCGGGATATGTTAGGAAATCAGAATATGGGATTCGCATCATTTTTCCCGCCTTCAGCGCCCGCCATAATGTTTAGCATTTTTCCTAACATGGCAAACAATAAAGAAGAATTTTTTCTTGATGTTGCCTAGTAATGCCTACCTCGTAGTCTGGCGGGGGCTGGAGGCTTGCGAGGGTTGTGCCTCTGACGAGTGCAGCACCAACCATGATCTCCATGATGAAAAAAATCACGAGGAGAGAAGACGTGGCAACCTTCAGCTTCTCTTCATTAGTTAGGGAGATAGTTATCCCCTCTTCCACGAAATAACATAGGTCCCGTGGGTACGCGCAAGTCAGAAGAAGGATCATACCCTCATGATAGCTGTATACCGCCATCACAGATAGTGCGATGCAAGCCACGCTAACCGACCACAAGGCATCAATCTGAGTCTATAAGGGTCTTTTATTAGAAATGAAATAAGCTTTAAGTAGATTCTAACGTGCTGAGAGCCTTTGGGCCTTAATGAAAGGATTTGCGGCGGCTTCAGTTTAATTTCAGGCCGACACTTGTTTTGATAGAGACCTTGGTCCTCGCGCACAAGAGAGAACCTCTCTAATAGTGCATCTTGAAAGTTTTACCCTAAAATTAACAAGTTATGTTTCCCTAAGCAAACTGGCTTTTGTTTGTTGTTTACTTTTTAAGACCTCCTTTAATAAAAAAAAGGAGCATTTGTACGTCGCAAAAGGAATTTAAAACACGGTGACTTGAATCATTGTTTCGATAGTGTCTCACCAGAATGGACGATGGGACTGGGGTGGAGGTTACAGCAAGTCCCATGATGCCAGTCACGAGAACCTAATGAAAACAAAAAAATAACTTATTTGATTTGAAATTTTCTTGATGTTAACTAGAAGATACCACCACCTGGTCCTCCAAACAATTTTCATAATAAGAATGATGATCACAATAACTATAGCAATAAATAAATATTTTAATAATAATAATGATAATAATATTCATAAATGATCAGTAGCAATAAAACTTGCGATATGGATGAAGATCATTGAAATTGTGAGCTGTAATCCGAGCTTCACTTATTTACTATTTAATATTTCCTTTACCTGACTAATTTCCTTCAACCCAGCTTAAATTAGAGCTTTCAATGAGGCCTCGTCGAAATCAATCCTAACAGCGCTAAGGAATGTGTAAATTTGCCAAGAAACTGTAGAAAATAACCGGATCTTTACGAACTGGAAATTGCTGTATTTGTAAAGCTATGTTGGGTACGGTCACTTTGTGCTTTTCGTTTCCATGTAAACTTTGGATGAAATGCCAAATCACCACATCTTTACTAGTTCCTTGACACAAAGAAAGGTCGAATTTCTCGTTTTTCCACTCGCGGTTTTGATTGA